ACAACCCTTGTTTGAACTTCAACGCCAGGGTCTGGCACGTTTTGGCATTGGCAAGAGCAGCCTCCTGGACGGGCCAGCACTATATAAGACTGGCCCGCCCTACAGGCTGCAGACAGTCACGAGGTAGTTCATAGGAACTTCCCAGGCACTTCACATGCAGGAGGCAGGAGGCAGTCTTCAGGATTCGCTGCAGTGGTAGGAGTAGCGTTAGCAGTAGTCTTCAGCGCTGGCCGCTATTAGGAGCTAGAGTAGCATTGGAGAGAGAGAGATGGTTGGCGGAGGCCAGAGAGACTTACCTGTGGCGCCATAGCTCCAGCTTCGTCTTCGATGTACCTGCAACAAGGCGCCACCTTCACAGGTTAGTACCGGACTACGAGAGAGAGAGAGAGTTCTTCTTCTACCTCTTCTAAGTCCACCATCTCCCCCTCACCCTCTCGTTACCTAACTTCTCAGTATCTGCAGACTACGAGCGAGCGAGCGAGCGAGAGAGAGAGAGAGAGAGAGAGAGAGAGAGAGAGAGAGAGAGAGAGATTGGTGACTTTGGGACTTGACGACATTTGGATCCAGACTCGACATTGGGATTCAGACATTTGACGAGGGATTATTTGGGACCTGTACCGAAGACTTGGTGTTGACGACATTCCCATCTTCCTCTCCTCTTCATCTAACCCCCCTCTTCTTCGTCTGTGTATGGTTGGGGACTGGCGCATTCTTCCTGTATGAGCGCCAGGCCCCTTCACACCATGGAATGATGATGATGTATGCTTGGTCTGCATTGCAACATTGATTGTTCGGATCATTGGTATATTAGCCTTCCGTTGCACTATCTTGTACTATGTGAGAGAGGTCGGTTCTTGTTCTGGTCTGCACCTTTACGGTATGCAACAGTCATCCTATCGGTGGAAGTACGATGAAGCCAGCCGCAGGTTGGAGAGTTACCCGTTCTCTCTCTCTCTCTCTCTCTCTCTCTCTCTCTCTCTCTCTCTCACACACACACACACACACACACACACACACACAGACGGGTGTGTGGGCACTTGGCTCTGAACCACGGAAACGTGGCCAACCTTGCATTTTCTATTATATTGCCCCTATCTAAACTTTTTCGTTCTGGACGGCTTGTGATGATTTGTGAAGGGAGTGAGAGACAGAAGAAGAACGAGACACATTCATAGCAAGGCTAGCACTAGTAACAGATCAAGGGGAGACAGAAGAGACAGAAGAAGAACGAGACACATTCTTATTCCAGTGACAAGTTAGAAGAGACAGAAGAAGAACGAGACACATTCATAGCAAGGCTAGCACTAGTAACAGATCAAAGGGAGAGAGAACTGATGCTGGAAGAAAAATGCACTGAACTACATAGCAAGATGCAAGCGACAAAGCGCAAAGAGCTTGATGATAGAAAGAAGTTGCAAGTAGAGGGGGCGAGGTTACACAGCGAGCTGCAGAAATCCGCCAAGGACGTAGATTTGCACATTCAGTCCTATATCAACAAACTGGATGATCATCTCACTCAAACCTTCACTCCAGCCGTGATCGAGAGAATAGTGCAGGGCATCGGCGGAGGAGGAGGTGGTTACGGAGATGGAGATAAGAAACGAAGGGGAAGACAGCGAGAAGAAGGAGTTGGGACCAGCAACAAAATTGAAGTTAAAATTTCATGGATGTACACCGATAAAAGGGAAGAAAGCGTGTTGCATTAGATGGCGGCTGTAGAGTCTTATGTCTACGGACAACGGATTCCCTATTGGGATAGGGTCTTGATGGCCACTTCGTGCATGGCCGGTGACGGGATGAGTTTTGCCATCTCGTTACAAAAGGAAGCAGGATGTAGTTCGATGGTAGAGTTTTCCCAACAAACCCGCATTGAAGACTTTCTCAAAGCCGTCAGGGAGAGGTTCGAAGATAAGAATCTCGCCCGAAGAACAGAAATGTTAATCTTGAACCTTCCTGACAGGAAGTGGAAAAGCACGTCGGCACTAAAAGCTACCATGGAYGAGTTGTTACAGTGCACCGAGCATGGGTTAACCCCGRCTCARATTTTGAACAGTTTTTCTCGCGCCTTACCTGATCCCGTCCGAACTCAGTTATATCCCCGCACTAAAGAGGAGGGGATGACCTATGAAAAATTTAGTAAGATTGCATTAGATCATGCAGGATTTCTGGCTGAAGCCAACTATTGCCACTATTGGAAAGATCTGCAAGCGGGCAAAAGATGGCAAAACCGCACCATCTCAGGATCAATACCTGGGAAAGACAACCTCCTTCTGACTTTTGAAGAAGGAGGTGTCGAATCACTTTCTTGGGACCAAATAGATTACGGTCTCGATGAACCCAACAGACCGGTAGCTCAGAAGGGGAGTTACGCGGCTGTTGCAGCCCGCGGGGGAGGGCGTCAAGGAAGAGGGCGTGGCCGAGGAAGAGGTCGCGGCCATGGTGGACGAGGATTCGGCACCCAGAGGGGTGGTGGTGAAGGAAGCCACTACGTGGGAGGAAGGGGAAATGGTCCCTCATACGGTGGTCGTGGTTCTTACTCCACCTGGGGTAGAGGAAGAGGCTCATGGTACAACAAGTGGAATAAGCCATACCCACCTCATCCAGGCTTGCCGGAAGGAGAACCTTGGAAAGAATTGGGAATCACAGAGAAAGTTTGGGCCGAAAGAAAGAAGGCAGATCAATGTCTCAAATGTGGGGACCCCGACCACATTGTCCCCTAT